TCCATGAAAGAATTCACACTGGGGAGAAACCCTATGTATGTGAGCAATGTGGGAAAACTTTCAGTCAAAATGGTGACCTTCTTGTACATAGAAGAAATCACACTGGGGAGAAACCCTATGTATGTAAGCAATGTGGGAAAGCATTCTGTAAAAATAGTAAGCTTAGAGTACATGAAAGAATTCACACTGGGGAGAAACCCTATGTATGCAAGCAATGTGGGAAATGTTTCGGTAAAAATGAACACATGCAAAGACATCACAAAATTCACACTGGGAAGAAACCCTATGTATGTAAGCAATGTGGGAAAGCATTCCATCAAAATAGTAACCTTAGAGTACATGAAAGAATTCACACTGGGGAGAAACCCTATGTATGTAAGGAATGTGGGAAAGCATTCAACCAAAATCGTCCCCTTGTAATACATGAAAGAATTCATACTCTGTAGAACTCCTATGTATGTAAGAAATGTGGGAAATGTTTTAGTACAAATGGCCACTTGCAAAGACATCACAGAATTCACACTGGGAAGATACCCTATGCATGTAAGCAATGTTGGAAAATGTTCAAACAGAATTGTGAGTTTGTAGTACATGAAAGAATTCACACTGGTGTGAAATCATATGTATGTAAGCAATGTGGGAAAGCATTCCATCAAAATGGTAAGCTTAGAGTCCATGAAAGAATTCACCCTGGAGAGAAACCCTATGTATTTTTTCATTTATTTTTTTTTTGTTTGTTTGTTTTTCTCTGGTACCGGGAACCGAACTCACAACCTTGCACTTGCCAGGCAGGCGTTTTGCCGCTGAGCTAAATCCCCAGCCCGGAAACCCTATGTATTTAAGCAATGTGGGAAAGCATTCCCACATTGTGGTCACCTTCTAAAACATGAAAGAATTCACACAGGGGAGAAACCTTATATATTTATGCAATATGGAAAAGCATTCAGCAGACAAAGTCACTGTCAATATAATAAAAGTACTCACAATGTGGAGAAAACCTGTGCATGTAATGAGGGTGGAAAATCTTTTCAGCACCAGAGTGAGAGTCACAAACATGGAAAAATTCACACCAGGATGTAACCTTATGCCCTTTAACAATCGGGGAAACGTTGAGTGCAAAAACAATGCCAACAAATACAGGAAATAGTGCTCATATGAGAAAACTCCTTTGTATATTGGCGGTGTGGAAAAGATTTGCTGCAAGATTTTCATTTTAAAAATAGAAAATTCACCTCAAACTGGGGAGTAACTGTGCATAAAAGAAATGTGGGAAATAAAATCAGTTCATAGAGATGCTGTCCTTCAGAACTATAGCATATCATGGCAAATCCCTAAGTATGGAACTTGGAAAAGCATGCAGTATACATGGGTATTGTGAAATATGTGAAAGAAATCAATGAATTGAAATTCTACATCTGTAAGACTATTTTGAAAATACTTTGAAATTTATTCATGTAGAGACAAGTAGAAATAATATAAAAATATTGGTGTTAATATAGTTTCCAGAAAACACACTCAAAGATGAATATATCCTAAAATGTATTCATTTTGTGTTTCTCAATATATCACACAGAAATATCTGATCTACGTATCTGCATATCTATTAAAAAATCACATCTTTTTAAGAAAATTCAAGTGTGCCAAAAATTTTCCTCACGCTTTGATCTGCCGATGCCCCAGCTTCATACATGACACCCATTTTTCTCATGACCATTGTTTCCCATCTGGATTTCTAACTCATGTATCAGTTTGTCTGGAAGGGCCCACACAGACACATTTGTAAGTGTACTTTACCAGTTTCCATGGCATGTCTATGTAGGCATGTGGATGAGAACATAATTCACCAAAGCAAAAGCTATTTTAAAGGATTTATCATTTATTAGTATGTATTTGCAGTGCATAATGTAACTGTTCATCTTTGGAAGGCATTTGAAGTGTATAAAACATATGTGTTCTTTGTTGCTGCATTTGTTATCCCCTCTATGTTTTATTTTAATAGAGAAAACAACAATAAAAATGATTCAGAATTTCAGGATAGTGCGCTAAATTTATGAGTTTTCACTCTTTGGTGATTTCTTTTGATGTGTAAAATGATTGAATAAATACTAAGAATCAACAAATGGAATCTTTCTTTATGCTATTCACCTACCTTTTGCTCATTTCCATTTGTCTGAGATGTATGTACATATCATGTACTTTTCTCTTATACAAGAAAAAGTTAGGCACCATGCCTTGTATATGAATTCAGTCTTCCATAAACACCAGCATCCAGAATATGCAAGTGTGTCAGGATTTCACGCAAGTTCCTAGGGTTCTGAAGAAAACACACGGAATGTGACTGGCAGTCATGGAATAGTGAGGGGTAGGAAGGATGGCATCCTGTAATGACAGGAATATGGAGCCGCCATTGTGCAGTACAGTCACGTGGTAATCACAAGTGTGTGAATTAAATGCACAGGAACTGAAGCATGGGGTTCACCTAGCAAACACTTCATCCAGGGTCGCAGGGATTGTACTGCACAACCTTCGCCCCCGTCTGTCCAGGCTTTGGGGTTTGGCACCAGCTAAGCAATCATAGTCTTTCTTTATCCACATGCTCCCAAAATGGAATTTCAGCAGGGTCTCATAATATTAAATTGTAAGTTCAAAAATGAAGATGACAAAATTTAAATCATGTGCTTTTTTCAGTAGCATAATTAAATCTAATGCCACTTTGATCCATTATTTATCTCAGTATATTTCATCAGAAGGTTTTCATGTGATGTCACAACATGACAAGTTTTAAGTACAGTGGAGGATGAGATATAAAGAGAAAGACAACACATTCACGTGATACTGATGTCACCATGGTTATATCAATTTAAGTATTAAGTACCATTGTCAATATTTATCCATAAATAATTTATCAAATTATTCCATAAGTATAAATATGTAAAATAATATATGTACATGTGTGTTTCTATGTGTGTGATAATGCTAACATCCAATATTGGACACACACATTGCAGACATGGAATGTTAGCCCACTCAGATAAGGAAACACTACTCTTTTTTATTTGTAACGGAGAGGTACACGACTCCTCTTTGTCACGGTAGAAACAGGCACAAAAAACAGAAAGGCAGAAGTTTTCTGAGAAGAGACACAGGACTGAACAAGTGGCAAAGAGAGAAACAGCATCTACCTTGCCCAAGAACAGCTACTCTTTCACCCCATGTCTAAAACTAACAGGTTCTTCAAAGCTTTCTCTCTTTACCACATAGGTATTGGTTCAGGCAGAAAAATGTTAAACCTGAATCAGGAACACATTTTTGGAAGGAAAATGCATTTTTAGCTATGTTTTGGTTTACTCTAGGAAGAATGAATGGGTCAGTGTTAATGGAGCGGAGGTCGACATACAATTTCAAAGGATAAGTGCAACAAGGTCTTCGTGAGGTACATGACCCTGGAAGAGAAGCTGCACCTTGATTTGGAAAGAACTGAAGGAATGCAGTTCTTTTTTCATTGCCTGATTTCCAACACATTTGAATACATACAAGAAATTACAGAATTCTTTGTATTCTCAAAGGTGTTTTTGTCGGTTTTAAATCCACATAAAGTGTCTTAGCATTTTCCTTCTACTTTATCAGTTCATGTAGTATGAATAAAACATCCTATGCAAAGATTTGGGTTCAATCTCCTCTGATTTAACTCGTCAAGATTGTTGTGTTGCAACAACCATACCTTGATGATGAGCCCCATCTTGAGCCTGCATAGAAAGAGAAATGATCTTCACCTTGATGTTTCCTTGGCACCGAGGAAACCTTCCCTGTGGGTGGCCCCAGCTGGAAAGAACACCAACAGAAAAGGTGCTTACAGTGATAATCTGCACAATGCAGGTTTAATTATAGACTTCTGTAAAAGCCACTGTGGGTTTCCCTGCCTTCTGAGGTTTTGGCTCTTGTTTCTTTGGGACTTTCTATACAGCATTGCAGTTCTAGCATGCATAAGTTTGCTGGACTCGATCAGTAACATGTATATGTAAAAACCTGTGAACCTCATGCTCTGAAACAGACTTCGTTTGCATAATTTCTGAGAGAAAGATATGATGGATTTGCCACTTTCCCTGAGAAACAGAAAGTGCCTGTAGGTAAGAGGGTTCCCCTAGCAAATGTTTGGTTGGAGGAGAGTGCATTCTCATAATGGAAAAAGAGAACACCAAACTTTGATAAGCTCCACCATTAATATTTTGGCTGTCCCTGCCACATCACCAGGGTCTGATTCATTGTGAGGCTGCCTTTTATCAGTTAATCGGACCTGCTCCATTGAAAAGGTGTTTAACAGTCTCAGCATGGGTTTCCTAGTGACCTTGGGGCAAAGCATTTGACATTTGTTTTTTTTAGTAGGTGGTATTATAATATTTATTATAAAAATGCTATGGATTAATAAAAAGAGCAAGAAACAGAATTAAATTACAAGCTATGTAAAATCCCAACTCAAAGCCAGAAGTGTCTAATGTATTCATTCATTAGCTAACTAAAAACCCCAAAATGACAATACACTGAAGAATCATAAAGTACTGCAAAACAAGTGGCTTTTTCTCTTTGATACAATCGTAGAGCCTTGGTTCTTGCTCACTGGTGCTGCTTCATTAAATAGACATTGAAACCATGTTGAAGAATATCTCAGACTGGTTACATCATACTGTGAATCTAAGTGGAATCTATTAGATTTCATGTAGTGTATAGTGACATTTTATATTTATCTATAAGTCAAGATCAAGCTGAGATAACCAGCAAATTGAATAAAAGTACAAAACTTACTCAAAGAATCTAAGGTAACTTGAACCAAGAGGAAAATGTTCCTCGAGAGTCCGTGTGTGAGCAGAAATATTACAAATGAGGTCATTAAATTTATTTAATGTCTCAAAAATTACCCACATCTGGATAAGTATGATTTCATATAATCTAATATTTGAATACTGAAATATTCCAGTGTAGGAAACTGAGGTAATACTGATATGGTGCAACAAATGTTACTATCTGGTGTATTGATATAAGAAAATACTTTCATGACCAACATCACTGAAATGTAGAACATTACATTTTGATAGAATGTATAATAATATATGGAAAGAAAAACTTTGAATTTTGAGAACTCGTATTCAAGAAATCTATTCATACATGCATATGAGTTTGCTACATTCATCATCTATAAAATAGGTAACCTGGGGGAGTTTTGAAAATGCAAATGAATGCTATTATTGTAATAGTAGATGTTTTCAAATCTTTCCCCCAGATATCTAGTCCATTCTTGTCCTAAAATTCTTAGAAGACACCCTGATATATATTTGGTCAGAATGTAAAATAAAAGCACAGTGTTCATCAATATTCAGATGTCACAAAGTAAAAATAGAAGTCTATTTGATCCAGGCTTACTTCCCCAGATATTCACAACGGAATTAAAATCATCCTATTTGAGTGATCCATGCATACACATGGTCAATGCAGAGTGTGCGTGGGTATTCACAATAGCTAAGCTCTTGACGTAATTCAAACGAGTTGAACTCTGGAAACAGCCCAGAGGCCCATCACAGGATGTCTGAATCACGGAAATGTGGGGCCAGCTCATCACAGTGGTGCATTTGTTATTCCCTGCACTCTGGGTTGCAGAACCAGAAGAATAGCAACCTGATGTTCCGCCTGAGGAAATCAATAATCCATGAGAATTTCTCCCAAAATAAAATAGAAAACAAATCTAGAAATGAAATTCAGTGCTAAGAGCTCTGTTTAACTCTGAGCCCAGAAAATATATGCTGTATGTTCAGCCATAAAGAAGAATGAGATCGGGCTGGGGATTTAGCTCAGCGGCAAAAGCGCCTGCCTGGCAAGCGCAAGGTCGTGAGTTCGGTTCCCAGTACCGGAGAAAAAAAAAAAAAAAAAAAAAAAAAAGAAGAAGAATGCGATCATATAATTGGTCAAAAACCAAAAATAATTGGGACTCCATCCCATAACATTAAGTGAAATAAGTTAGAAGCAGGAAGTGAAATATCACGTGTTCTCTTAAATGAGAAATTAAAAATAAGAAGTAAAATAAAAGAGGGGCTGGGGATTTAGCTCAGTGGCAAAGCGCCTGCCTGGCAAGCGCAAGTTCAGTTCCCGGTACCGGAGAAAAACCAAAAAAAAAAAAAAAAGAAGAAGTAAAATAAAAGAGAGATGATAGTGAAGAGAAAGTTTAACTTTTGGCGATGAGAAAGATGATCAGGTTAAGGAAGGAAGGGGAGAGGGATGGGTGCAAAGGTATCAAAACTCATGAACTTGTGAGACACAAATGTACCCCTCCCCTCTATGAGACTAGACCTTGTGTATTGCAGACATATGCCAAATAAAAATTTGCAAAGAAATACCATTTAATTTGGAAACTGGGTATTGGTGTTTTTCAGTCCCCCTCCAAGTTGTTAGATCATCTCATGCTCAAAATTTCTTAGCAGGTATCAATCTAGAACTTGTCCTGACTAATTAATATAAGAACAATTTTATTTTCATGGATATTTTGTCCTTTTGATTGCAGAAGTGAAATGGTAGAAAAATGCTATCAATAGAAAGCTTAGAAACAACAGGAAGAAATACTCATTTGGACTCCAGATGCTAATGTAGACACACAACAAAGTGCTTTAAAACCGACTGGAATCCTTGCTTGTAGAAATCCTCTGATTGGGCATTTGAACCTCAATGTGCGCATTATAGCTCACACTCACCTGAATCCTGATGATTATTTAGGATGTGCAGAGAAGCTGTATAAATGCAATGAACATGGAAAACCCTACACGGATACTCAGTTCTTTCAAAAACATGAAACAAGAAAGATTGGAGAGAAACCCTATCTAAATGAGCACTGCTGGAAAGTCTCCTCCGATCTTAGTGAGAAAACTCACCAGAAGAGGAGATGTTTTTAGGTAAGGAAAGTATGAAAGCCTCCAGCACACCCAGTGGTGTTCAAATGCATGAAAGAAATCATAGTGGGAGAAATCCATATTAATGCAAACAATGTGAGAAAACTTTCATTTCTTCACACCATATTCAAATACATGTATGAAAACATACTGAAAAGAAGGCCTATATATATGACATATATGAAAGTACTAGCTCATAGAAATTCCTTTCATACACATAAAATAATAGACAATGGGAAGAAACAAAGTGTGTGTAATAAATGTGGGAAAGCATTCATTACACAGATATCTGATAAAATACATGAAATTAATCATACGGGTGTGAAATACTATATACATAAGCATTGGAAAGCATTCAGCACACAGAGTCACTGTCAAAGGCATGGAATATTCACACTAGAACAAACACTATATGTGTGAACAATGTGAGAGAGCATTCACTTCACAGCATTATTGTAAAGTATGTGAAAGAATTCACTGGGAAGCCATTCTATGTATGCAAGGAATGTCAGAAAGCATTCACTACACAGAGTAATTATGATATATGTGAAAATAATCACACTGGTAACAAACCCTACACAAGTAAGCGATGTGGAAAAGGATTTAATAATAAGTCCACATATCATAGATATGCAAAATCCCACACTGGTGAGAAACCCTATGTTTGTAAGCAACGTTTAAAAGGATTTACTATTAATTCCACATATCATAGATGTACAAGATCCCACACTAGTGAGAAATCTCGTGTACATAAGCAATGTGGAAAAGGATTTGCTGATAACTTGATGTACCAGAGACATACAAGATCCCACAATGGTGAGAAGCTCTATGTATGCAAGCAATGTGGGAAAGCATTCCGCATATGCAGTCACTGTCAAAGACATGAGAGAATGCACAGTGGGGAGAAGCACTATGTTTGTGAACAATGTGGGAAGGTGTACACTAGACAGAAATATCTTCAAATACATGAAAGATGTCACACTGAAGAGAAACTCTGTGTGTATCCATAATGTGGAATACTCAGCCAACAGAGTATGTGTCAAACACCTGAATGAGTATATCGAGAATAAACACTTTGTATGTAAGCAATGTGGAAAAACATTCAGTGCACCAAAATACCATCAAATACATGAAAGAAGGCATACCGGTGCAAACCACATGTATATAGGTAGTGTGGGAAAAGATGTGATGCAGCTCTTCATTTACAGACATAAAAGAACTCAGATGGGGGAGTAACTATGTTTGTAAGAAGTGTGCAAAGAAATCCAGTTGATAGAGTGTAAATACTTGAACAAGATAACACTGGACAGAAAGCCTATGTAAGCAATGTGAGAAAGCATTTGGAATATACAGGTATTGTCCAAAACATAAAGGAAGTCACATTG